GGTGTCTGGTCTAGAGACAGGGACAAAAGGATGGCAGATCCTGGAGGGTTTCAGAGGCTACAACTCTGAGTGAAATGGGAACCCCTGAGGAGTTTGCAGACAAGGAGTAACATGATCTGACAGGTTTAAAAGGAAGTTACTCTGGCCACTGTGTTGAAAAGAAACTAAGTGGCTTAAGGTAGAAATGGGAAGAAACCACATGAGGTTAACAGTGATTTGACCATAGTACGTGTATGTGCATGCATGTGTGTGTGGGAGGGCATAATTGGGGTAACTGTGGAGGAAAATATGCTAATCAGCAATCAGCTTTTGGTTTCTGGAACAGAAAGTCTAAACTAATCAACTTAAAAGAAGGGAAGGCTGGTTTCGGCTCCCGGCTTCAAGAAACACAGAGGAAGAGAAGGAAGGGGATGAGGTTCCAAGATCTTTCAGGAATACACGACCAACAGCCCAGTTTTGCCTTAGCCTCCTGCCTCCCACCGGCAGCAGAGTTCTCCAATACCATAGGCAGAATTAGACCTTCACTGGCAGACTTTGGTGGGATGGTCAAGAGCCAAGCTATAGCAATATTCTGAAGAAAGTTTGCTGTTTTAACTATTTTCAGTAACAATAAATACATTCACACTGTACCACCTTAATCCATTTCTAGAACAATCTTATCACTTTGAACTGAAATCCTGAAAAATTTGGAGATATAAGCATGTGTGTGTGTGTGTGTGTTTGCATGCATGTGCACATACATATTCACACACATACACACACACACACATTCACACTTACTCTTGCTGTTGACAAATCGGAGAACGGCAGAGAGAGAAAGTTGGGGAAAAGAGAAAGAATAAGACTTCATACTTCATTTCAATATCCAATTGAGGTGACTGCTGGATATCCAAGTGAGGAAGTTGAGAGTTTGTTTGGGTGTGTTCAGCTGGGGCTCATTAGAAATGGCCTGGATGTGTGCATCTGTGTGCCTTGAGTTGATCAATAGTTGGTTAAGCTACAGGAAGAAATGAAAGAATCAAAGGAGGGAATGAGACAAAGAAAAGATCAAAGGCTTTGGAGGCCCATTAAGAGGCCAGGAAGGGAGATGAGGAAACAGAACAAGCCTAAGCGGATATAGTGTCAGGTGCTGCACAGGGCCCACGAGAGGGGGACTTGGACTGACCATTGGATTTCACCGTGTGTGGGTCACCAGTGACCCTCACAAGACCCTCAGAAGAAAGAGGAAATAGAAGGAAAGCAACCAGGGGCAACAAGTGTAGGCTACTCATTTCTGGATTTGACCATTAGCGGTGTAAAACTGGCAGAGTAAATAAGACTACGTAGCTGTCTGCTGTGTTCTGTTACCAGTGGCTGAATGGACAGTGTATTTGTATCGATAGAAACAGTCTAATGAGAGGAGAAACAACAGTGACACCGGAGGAGAAGTGGTAGAAGTTTCACATTTGAGTACTTGTACATGAACTTAGGCATTGCACTTTGCCACAATCTATCCTGTGTTGACTTGTTTCATTTGTCTGTATAATCTGTAGTCAATTCTTCATCTCTGGGATGGAACAGACATAGGCCTATGAGGCTCTACAACAACCATACAATAAATGGGTCAGAATATCAAACGGATTCATTCTTCCAGAGAAGATAGAGTTCTGAATGACTAATGTAGCCTCCCTCTATGGAGTGGTCTGTGTGTTTGTCTCTGTCTCTGTTTATCTGTGTTTGTCTTTCTGTCTGCCTGGCAGTTGGCTCACACAGGTACCATACAAAGCTGATGAAAACTGACAGGAATAGCTGGAATATGAAAACCCAGAAATGTACATACTGAAGCTTTTTAGGAATCAGGAATGGATTTTATTTTCAAGCCTGCAGATGTGTCTTGTTTGCTGGAAAAGAAAAGAGACAGTAACTGAGCTTATAATTCAGAGCGAATGACAGCGGGGCGGGATCATCTTCACCAGGGACTGGACTTTAGCCCAGGGGGGAGACCAGAGTTTATAATTGTATACCCAATGTGTATACCAAAGGTTCAATGACTGTGCAGTGGATGAGTCTAAATCAGAGAAATGCAAAACTATTGCATGAATGTTTCTTTGGTAGGGGTTCAATATGGCGGCCAGCTTCCAAAATGGCTCAACCATCTCCACCTCTCTTCTTATTCACTCCTCTTAACCTACAGTCTACCGAAGCATGGTAAGGGCATGTGGGGAATCTGGGATGGTTAGATTGACATGATTCTAAATCATCTGGTTTCTGGTTGGATCACAGAGAAGATGCTTGGAGCCATTTTTATCCCTGAGCTTCAGAGCATAACTGCTGTTAAAATGAACTCTTTCCTGCCTAGCTTTCCCTCTTTCTCATAGTCTCATTGGACTTAAGGAAAGTGACAGTTAAGGACAGTTAAGGATAGCACCCTGCATATCTCTGTGGTTCTCTTACCCCACCTATAGTTTTGTGATTAATACCTTTCTATGTTGCTCTTTTATGGGCCTGGAGAGATGGTTCAGTAGTTGAGAGCACTATCAATGAACCAGAGCTAAGACTCACATTGTAAGGCTTATGAGTGCCTGTAACTCACAGCTCCAGGAGTAACAATGCCATCGTCTTTATTTCTTTGGTATCTGAATCTCTCTCTCTCTCTCTCTCTCTCTCTCTCTCTCTCTCTCTCTCCTCATACATACACAAATAAAAATAAAGAAAATCTTTTTTAAAAAACTTTTTTAAAAAAGCTTCCTTTTTCTTTCCTTCCTTCCTTTCTTTCTTCCTTCCTTTCTTCCTTCCTTCCTTCCTTCCTTCCTTCCTTCCTTCCTTCCTTTTTTTCTTTCCCCCTTTTCATAAGTTCTCACTTATGTCCTGAAATTTGCTATGTAGATCAGGTTGTCCTTAAACTCAGGGATCCCCCTGTCTCTGCTCCTGAGTACAGCTGTTAAAGGTGCGAGCCACCACACTCAGCAAAACCAGCTCTTCTAAACTGCTTTTTCCCATGGGAGTCCTGCCCGATGTAGTGGCTGCCGTCACAGAGATGCCAGACGGCAGATTGAAAGTCAGAGCTAAGATGTATTTGGTCATAAATAAATATTATCAGGGATAATCCTGTTCATTGGGAAAATGGCTCGATGATCCATTTCTCCAACTGTCACTGGTGGTGACCTGGGACAAAGTGTAACATCATAGAGTGCTGTCCACACGGAGCTTTTGGAGAATCCCAGGAATTTGGAATTATTTCTGGACTCGGGCTGCTCTGCTGATCACCTTTTATTTGAGAAGTGACTGACAGCTTGCTGAGAGTGAGGACTGGATTCCATAGGTTGGTTTTTTTTCCTTTCTTTATTGAGTCCAGCTTTTTTACAGAATAGATTTCAAAAGACATTTAGTCAAAAGACAAAGCCCGTGTCATGTTCTTCATTTGTGGTTTCTACTCTTCTCCTCACTGGGGCAGCAGCAGTATCGGAGACAAGACCTTCAGTTGGAGAGGCACTAGCCACTGAGAACCAGCTGCTGGAGCACTAGCCCCTGGAACACCAGCTGCTGGAACACTAGCCCCTGGAGCACCAGCTGCTGGAGCACTAGCCCCTGGAACACCAGCTCCTGGAGCACTAGCCCCTGGACACCAGCTCCTGGAGCACTAGCCCCTGG